TCCTCCACAACTAGACTGAAGAACAAAAGGGCAGCAACTTGTCTGTTCCGTTTCCCCAATTCCCCAACACTGTTCCCCTCCCCCAATTCCCCAATAAAATCTTAAAAAAAAAAAAAGTAGTGGCTATATAAAAAAAATAAAAAACATCTTGTCATGTTAGGAAGACAAAGAACTAAAATTATTAATAGCTGAGTGCAATTTGGGAGGTAGTAGTATTGTAAGGTCCTTTTTTTGTTTAGGAAGAAGGTAAAGATAATGATTAACATTAGTCTTTGATAGATTAAGATTTGTGTTAAAATTTCAAGTGGAGCCACTAAAAGAACAGATTATCTAACTTCTAAACTAGTGGAGGATAAAGATGGAATGAGAAAATTATCAACCCAAAAGAAGGCCAAGAAAGATACATAAAAAAAAGATTGGAACAAATGGCAGGTATAAAATAAGATGGTAGAAGTAAATCTAAATATAGCAATAATATTCCAGTTAAAAGACAGAGATGTTCAGATGAAAAAACATTACACAAATGCCAAACCTAAAAAGGCTTGTGTTATACTGATATATTTTATATATTTTTATATGGCATATATTAGTATCACAAATTAGACATTATGGTAAAATCATTATTGAAGTAAAGAGGGCCAGTACATAATGATAAAAGGTTCAGTTCACCAAGAAAATAACTCTGAATTTATATACACCTAATATAGCCTAAAAATATATAAAGAAAAAATTGACAAAATTGCAAGGAGACATAAGCAAATTCACTGTTGGGAGATTTTAACATACCTCTCCAAGTAATTGATTTTTAAAACATAAGTATTTTAAAAATATACATTAAAAAAGTAACAGTAAACATAATTTTAAGTATATAAAACAGTAAGTATAACTGTTGACAGTTAATGTGCATTATAAGCTTGCTGGAATGAGTTTACATATGTTCAATAAGTAGACATGATGATTGAAAAAGCAAACCAGAAGACAGATAAATAGAAACATGAGATTCTACAGTCCTACTCACTCAGCCATGGTAAACAGCTGGATATAAATTTATGAATGATCAGAAGATCATATTGAAAGACATTGGTTTTACCCACATCACTCAAATTCAGTGCAATACCAATAAAAATCCCTATTTGTTTTCTTATGGAACTCGACAAGGAAATTTTAGATCAAAAGGATAAAAGGCCAAGAATAGTCAAGATGCTCCTAATACAAATAACAAATTACCCAAGAAGTGAGAGTGGGTGTTGAGATGGCAAGGTACTTAATCTAATCTAGAATTATTGTAAAACTAAATTAAGACTTGATGGTTTTGGTAAGAAATAGAGAAATGG